GCCCCCACCCCACATCCCTCTAGTGCAGATTGATATGAGGCCGCGGCAGGAGTAGGGGCCAGCGGTACTCACTCACTCCGCAGCGCATCACGTCTGACCTTCAGCCTGGAGCGCACCACGCTCCCTCACGTACATTGCTATCCAACCCACCCCGCGCACCCTCATAGAACCAACACTGCAACACCACCACCTCCTGTCCCCAGGGCCAACAGATAAATATAGACTGCAGTCTGACAGATGCAAATATATTGCCCACGACACCGATACATGCCCAGATAACACACAAAAGAGCCTCTTGTCACCTTAATTATGCCATACGGCAGGAATTATTGTAAATATTAAATAAATAAATAAAACAATGGTGTGACTTCCATCCTCCCCTGACCGGAACCCTATCGAGAACCTTTGGAATGTCCTTAATCAAAAGATGTATGAGGGTAGGAGGTAGTTCCCATCCAAACAGCAGCTCCAAAGACATTCACGAAACTCGCCAATAACTCACAAGTTCAACAGATGTGAGAATTGTGATGCCAATGCAGTCAGTCACAGTTCTGCCAAGCGGAACAACCTTGGCGCCTACTGTTTACCAACATTATGAAAAGAGCTATTACGTGGGCATAAACAATGAACCGCAATATGACGAGAAAACACTGTACTGTATTTATGAGGTGCTCGGCTTCTCTGGTGTGTTGCACATTTCCTTTCGCATAAGAACATCTTGAGCTTTATGGTTATCTCGCCAGTATGGACTCAAAGTAATTGTGCTTGATTGCACAAGGGAGATTGAAGAGCTCTTCAATTGATATCAGCAGCAGCAGCAGCTTTGCCTTGCACTGATTAGCCCTCATGTCCGCTGACTGACCACCGTCAGGGACAAAGTGACAATGTAATGGCCGAGCTGACCTTTCCCTCTAACATCAATTTGTCCCTCTACTTTGCGCAAACACACGTCCATCATACAATGTGCCGTACATGTTCTCAAATAGTGGTGCGGAGAACGAGGCCTTCTATCCATCTATCCGTTCTCTGTACCACTAAATTAAAAAAAAAAAAAAAAAATTATGACAACAAATAGAAAATGTTCATACATTGGAAATTTACATTTGGTGCTGTTCTGAAGCTCATCTTTTTTTGGAGGGGGGTTGTTTTCCATCCCCTATGGTGTTACTTTAACCAGTTAGTATCTATGTCCTACTCCAGTGTCATTTTTATATCATATTGTACATACAGTTCAGGGAAGGAAAATGATGCAGATAAAAGTGAAAGCAAAGAGGTCCTCTCCGGTTACACAGAAGAAAGGGACATGCTTTTACGGCCAGCCAAAACCATCTTACCAGTATGACTGTTTGCCTCTGTCCTTCTCTTGTCTCGTGAAAAACACAGCATGTGCTGACAAAAACAGTCTGTCCTCCGATATAAGCACACGGGAAGGAGTTGTCGATGCTGGGAGAGAGCCAAGAGCCAAGAGACAAACAAAAAATGTTTGTTAACTTGTCCCTCAATGTTAGGCTTGTTTGTTAGTTGGGGCAACTTTTTACTTGATGTCTGTCATTGCGCTACAAGTGGTCAGTTTGCGAAATTTATGAAAAAAAAAAATCCCAAACTGTCTCAATAATGTAAAAGTTGGATGAAGCGTGGGTTGATTCATCATGCGTGGAGAGTAAGGCACAAGGACGATGTCATAAAAAGGTGACTGTTGTCGTATTACCATCTTGGATGCTACGCAGCGCTAACCTATATCCCGCACATCAAAATGACGATCTTTAGATAATGGAGGGTTACGCTGTACGGTAGTGCCATGTTGGGAATGTTCAGAACCAAAATACAATTCTTGCATGTGACGTCTTCACTCAGAGGAATTGTCGAGGAAGCGAACAAGCGATTCCCAGGAACATCATAGTTGGCTTTGTGAAAAGAAATTGTTTTTAATTCCTAGCCCTAATTATGATGGTGGTTCTTTGGAAGATTAGTAAATTTTTGGTGTCAAAAGTTGGGGAACCAACAATTTAGTCTTCAATGAATCGAAAATGCACATTTTCGCAATGACGGAGAACCAATTAAAAAGTGAATTTTGCACAATGCCCCCTTTAAATGGTTTGTTTTGGAAAATGTCATGGTGGCTGGCATCACATGCTCTCAGGGGTCCATATGCGGCTGTAAAAGGACCGCCACATGCTGTCTTTGTGTGTTATGTGCTTGTAGAATCAATTGGCTCTGCAAGCCCAAAAAAAAAACCCCCCAAAAAACAAACCAAAAAAAATTGCCTCTTAAGAATAACCAGTTTGTGCCATGATTTCCCTTCCCTTTCCAAACCATCGTGTCCTCATTCTGAAAAGTTGAAACAAATGTCAAAATGTCTATTTATAGCACGCCTCGCTTAATTGAACCGCACATAGGAGAGAAATCTATTGACACGCTCCGACTGAAGGGTGCGAGGGTGGCATTTCCACTTAAAAAGAGGCAGTTGGAATTGTAATGAGGCAGGGAAAAAGGGGAGGCAAAACGGCAGACTCACAAAACGAGAGTGATTGGTTTAAAGGGATTTTTCTTTTCCCCATAAATATGTAAAGATGGGATCAAAGAAAGCGCGCGGAGGAGAGTTGCTAAAGTGCGATCAGAGAGAAGGACTTATACGGAGAAGCATTGAACTGAGTGGTTACTTAAGTCGAGAGATGTAAAGCACGCTGGCCGGGAGGACTTGACAGGACAGCATAATTGGATTAAAGGGGCAGAAAATTAAAAGTCTGTTTTTTTTTTTTTTTTTTTTTTCACCTCAAAGCAAGCATGGTGCAGTGATTCAAATATACTGGTGTTTTTAAAAAAATATATATTTCCACAACCATAAGACACACATAAAAAAAGTCTTAAATCTGTCTAAAAATGGACAGGGCACCTACTAATACGGGTCGTCACCTTGTGCATGCACCAAGTTCCAAAATCTGTTGTGCGACTTCGATGAGGGGTCTGCACGACAGACCGATGTTGTGCCGACACGTTGCTCAGAGAGAGGAAAGGCGGACGTAACTGAGGACAGCATGCAGACGCTAAAGTGGGAAAGGTGGGCATGAAAGACGATGCAAAAGGCACTTCCGTAGTTGGTGCCAGTACGTGCAATGTGCAAAATGACATCCCGAACATGGCGCCTACGTAGGGGCACGCTTACGAAGCACAGTTTAACCGGTAAGCTATCACTTACACGTAGGACCGTGAGAATCGAGGAGTCGCCAGATCAACTAATCCATGGTTCTTGGTGCTTTAGTTTTTTTGAAACGGCGCCATCTATCTATCCGGGCAAGGACGTCCCCCGCCGACTGCCCGAAGACATCTGGAATAGGCTCCAGCATGCCCGCAACCCTTGTGAGGATAAGCGGATTTGAAAACGGTTGTAAGGATGGATGTCAGTGTGGAGTTAACACTTTAGCAACACTAAAGTCTTACAAACCTTGCTATTATTTTTCCAGGAAACCTGCTGAAAAACGATTGCTGCGATTTCAGGGACACTGAACTAAAGATCTTACGCTGTATCACATTTTGGTCTGATCTATAGTACAGCGAATACGGACCAAGCCGAATAGCAAAAATCCACAAATACAGTGAAACTCCTCTAGAACGAAACCTGCATGGGCGAAAATACCCCCTTTTGTGAAAAAATCTTCATGCATTAACACAATTCCCATTCTCCTGCCCCCCATACGACGAAAAACCCCCTGTTGCGTTATACGAAATCATTTTGTCTGCTCCAGCCTCGCGAAGACATTCACTACAACGAAGTCTTATCCAACAGCGACCTCTACTGCTTCGTTCGAAAAAAGGCAACAGCAACCACCACACTGGTTTACATAGTGAACGATGTTTATTTCGGTCACAGCTGCGAGTTTCCTGGGCTCAACATACTCATAGCTGCTCTGCTATTGGCTTACCGAGCATCATCCTGGCCTCCGATTGGCCAAGAGGCCACATAGACCTCACTGTCTATGTGTGTAGATACTGAAGCTAGATCCGTAGCATCCGATTAGCTGCTCAGAGTAAATTGCTTATGGCTCGACGGACATTTACTTTACTTTTTATCATGCTAAAAACAGCCACGGGACGCTTCGTAGTCCTCGATGGCCATAGTTAGCTCTCGAAGGCTAAAAACCTTACGCTAACTGGAGCGCTAATGAGAGAGAAGCGCTCCAGTTAGCGTAAGGTTTTTAGCCTTCGAGAGCTAACTATGGCCATCGAGGACTACGAAGCGCCCCGTGGCTGGCTTAAAAGTTCATTGCATGCCAGGAAGTATTTGTTATTGTTAGATTCAGACGAGGATGGACGTTGCATTGCTAAAATGGCTACAAAACGGACCTTTTGATGTCAAGCAGCTAAGACAAGAAGAGCTCTGATGCTGGAAGAGAGGGTAAAAGTGATCAAAATGAAAGACGGAGCAAGCAAAATAAAAGACATTTTCCAAGAAATTGATGTAAGTGAAAGTGAATGCTGATCGTAAATTTCGCAATTTCTTTCCCTTTTTTTCTTTCTACACTGACAATATGAAGTGTCAAATAAGTGTGTGCTCATACTTATGTACTATTGGAATAAAAATAGAGTACACAAACGTTTGTGTGTGCGTGTACACATACGTTTGTGTGTGTGGGTGTGTGTGTGCTTACATCTGAGATCAAATTTGCTACAGTGAAAAACCCCCTGTTGTGAAAAATTTCTTGCTGCAAACATGATTTCGTTGTAGAGGAGTTTCACTGTAACATACAAGTGACTAACCACAAGATAGCATCAAAGAACTTAAAATGGGAAGGACCATAAAGTACCAACACATGAATCAAGAATTTACACAATTGAAAAAACATGTTACAGAAAAAAATCATGTGGTTAAATAGCTGAAGTACTCAACACACACACACACACACACACACACACACACACACACACACACACACACACACAAAAACCCTGAATACATTTATCCAGAACTTCACAAGTACTCTTGTAGAAATCAGTTGACTCACCCTGTCCATGTCATCTTCAAACACCATCTCGTGGACGCCGCACGCGAAGAGCGCGGTGGGCAGGTCGCTCAGGTCCATCATCTCCTCGCCAACGCCGTCCTGGTCGTTCTCCCCAAACACCATGTCCTCTTCCTCCTCCTCCTCCTCCTCATCCTCCTCCGGGTCACTGCTGTAGGCCTCAGAGCCGTTGCTCCACGCCTTGGAGCTCTCTCGCAGCATGATGAGCCTTGTTTGTGGGTGGGTCACAAGCAGGAAGATTTGGCACTGTGGAGGAGAGTGGAGGGTTTTAAAGAATTCTCCTTTCGTGAGGAAGAAGACGCTTCAATTCAGCCATCACACACAGGGAGATTTAAAAATACAAACAAATACAAATTCAAAATGCGTTGAAGTTAAAAATAAAAAGGGCATACTTGAGCTTGTCCCAGCTGACTTTGAAGGAGAGGCAGGGAACAAACAGTATACCAGTGTTTTTCAAACCCTGTGCCGCAGCACACTATTGTCAGGTGTGCCATGGGAAATTATCCAGTATGTATGCCTGTGCGGTCTATCGCCTGGCAGAGGAATTGTGTAGCACTCTTTCATACCGGTAGGTAGCAGATCGCCTGGCAGAGTAATTGTGTAGCACTCTTTCATACCGGTAGGTAGCAGCAGCAACTAGCTAATTGCCTTGTGCTTCGAGACAAGCGAAGTTAACTAGCTAATTGCCTTGTGCTTCAAGACAAGCAAAGTTTCTGGTACGAGCCAAAACAACAAAAGCTCTCTTTCATTCAGATTTACTTTTACCAAAGATGCAACGACACCGACTCCGTTGTGCTTGGTATGTGGTGAAAAACTCTCCAACAGCGCTATGGTCCCAAGTAAGCTTAAACTCCATCTCCAAACAAAACACCCTTCATTCCGAAACAACAATGTGGAGTATTTTGTTCGCCTGAGTGAACACACGGAGAAACAAGCAACATGCATCAGAAAAACCGCAAAGGTAAACGAGAGAGCCTTGAAAGCAAGTTACCATGTCGCTGAATGTGTGGCTGAATCCCAAAAGTTCCAGTGGCAGAGCAATTAATACTTCCCGCCTGCAAAGCCATTGTAAATGAGACGTTCGGACCCGAAGCGGCTCAGGAAATAGCCTGGCTGCTGTAAAAACTCAAAACATCGAAAGAATGAGAGCTGTGGAGGAAGAGCTTCGTGTGTCTTTCATCGATTGATGCCAGGATATCAGATTTGTTTTCATCCATTTATCACACTGAGTGGGAATGAACATGAAAGATGATTTAAATATTTGATTGATGTTGATTTGATTCCTATTGAAAGTGTTATAATATAACGTTATTTTTCAATGTAAAAAAAAAAACGCTTCTAATAACAAAGTCACACTTAATTGTTAAAAAAAGCTGTTTTCACATTTTCAGGTAGTGGTGTGCCGCGGGATTTTTTTTCAATGAAAGAAATGTGCCTTGGCTCGAAAAAGATTGAAAAACACTGCAGTATACATTAGATAGAAAAGACCAGGGCTTTAATGACATAGAAAAATAAGACCAGGATATATAATTTTAAAACTTGTTACACCATTGTGTTACCTATAATATGTTTTACTCACTAAGTCAAGAGAGAGAGAGAGAGAGAGAGAGAGAGAGAGAGAGAGAGAGAGAGAGAGAGAGAGAGAGAGAGAGAGAGAGAGAGAGAGAGGAGTGGAATCGGAATGAAAAGAAGCAGCAGGTTGCTGCTACTACCCAAACAAGCGCTGGGCAAACAGCGACATCTAGTGGCATATAAAAAAACAGCACCCACTTTCGAGGCATAACAGCCTCACACGTTTGGTTGAAATACGGTTAGAGAGATAATATATTCAAACATTCAATCATTAGAATGTGTATTTTGTATAAAACGCAGTACGCGTAGGGGTTATTTTCATCCAAGGACACAGAAAAGTCCTAATATTACGTAAGGACCTCATTCAAATACCGACAAACGTGACTAAATTCGGTCCAGAAGCAATCAACGCACACAAACGGCAAAAGCACGCAATATCGTCTTGCTTCGTGACTATGGCGAATGCTGGTTGTAGCATAACTCACCCAACTACCGTTCGTGAAGATAAATCATTTCAAGAGGGACCGAACCGCAGAATTTGAGTAGACCAACGTAACGTGACGCCACTTATCTTTCTCAAAAAAATATCAAATTTACTGTCAAATGCGTTGGTTGTTGTGATGGGGATTAGTGCGGCGCAACCTAACGACCGGCGCAAGAGATAGAGCTGGACCAATGAGACGGCGGCGAAGATTGAGGGTAGCCAATCAAAACGCAGACATGGAAATGATGCCCCCGCCCTTATGAAGTTAACGAGCAACCGGTGGCTCCTATCGCTTATGTGAATAATTTTTTATGTTGAGAATAAAATATTTTCTGGAATATTAATTTAAATATGAATGCACCATTCGCCCTAATGTGTTCGTCTTTCAATGTAAAACATGAAATCTGATAAATTATTAACAGTGTTTGATTTATATTAAATTGGGATAAGGAAAAAAAGCAGTGAAGAGGAAAATCAGAAGTTGTAGTTTAAATGCTGTAATGAACAATTTCCCGTCGCATCACACAGGCAATAATCCTTTTTTTATTTTATTACGTATCAAGCCCTAAGTGCTTATTGCCACGTGTCAAAATGGAACGCTTTTTTTATGATTAAAGATGTTACACACATACACACGCTCCCCAGAGACCCAACTAGCTGTACAAACAATAAAAACAATCCGTCCTTAATATTTCCATTTTTTTGGAGAGAGGGGAAAATCAGCACACAAAACAGCACACATTGTAAGTACCAAAAGTCAAAACGTAAGAGAAGAAAAGATAAGAAAACCTTTATTAGTCTCGCAATGGAGAAATTCCTAATTCACAGCAGCAAAGTTATGAAAGGAAGAAGTCGAAGAACAACATGAACAAAAAACATGAGCATCTTGTATTTATTTTTGGATTTCAACTTAAGTACAAACCTGAGTTATCGGGTCAATTGAACTGCATAAATCAAATTTTTTCTGATCTTTGAGGCAAAATGAGAAATTTGCCTCAGTACAATATAGACATGGATGGTTGTTTGTTTTTATCCAGTGTAGCGCTACTCCCTTTTAAGGCACAATAAATCAATAAATACAATAAATTAAAGCATTTGCATTGGACCCGTTAACGGAAAAAAAGTAATAATACAACCCCCAAAAGAGGAGGTAAAATTGGAGTGAAGGGAGACATCTTAAAAGGCAGATCATTTACAGAACTCCTGAATTTAAAGCGATCATTGGCGAGGCTCCGGCAGTCTGCGGAGATCACCGAGGACACAGAAATAGCCTCCAAACAGTATGAACTCTCCTCGTGTATTTCCAATACTACAGGCGGTCAGCTTCAAGGCATACGTCACATTTACACATGTACTGTTTAAAAATCCAGCACCTTTAAAAGTTGTTTTGCTGGTCCTGAGCATGATTGTACCTTAGGTATGTCAAGCTTCCTTTCAGGGCATCCTTGCAGTTGTATAGGCAGACACACATACAGGGAAGCTCCAAAGTCAAAATTTTCCCGATCCTTTTTTTTTTTTTTTTTAAACCTCAAAAGGTTTGCTCACACCGTGGTTAATGTGAAGCCAATTCAGAGATTTGTTTCTAAATACATCATACATGTTTGACGATAATCGCTCAAAACATGTGCGGGGTTGTTCACGAAACTATTAACTGTGGTATCACAAATTTAGAAGATGTACAGGTACCTCATGTAGGGATTTTAAATGTGAAAAGCTATCTTGGTCCAATAACGTTTTTAGTTTTGAATGAAGCAATCCACTTCACCTTAATGGGAACTTTTCTCCCATCACTGAATGGATTCTATTTGACTTTGGAGTTTCCACCAACCAACAGACGTCAACGCTTGTAACTAATCTTGCTTCCTGTCAGGAGGTCCATTCGATGCCCGCGTGGGTCTGAAGCTGGTGGTGGGTTGCTCCGTGTTGACGGCCTGATTAGAAGAAGTGGTTCCGTCATTGTTGACCAGAGCGCCATAAGAGAAAGTACCTGTGAAGTCAGCCGCAACCTCCGGACCCTTGCTGTGAATGGTTGGTACACCTGATCGTGGATGGCACACCCGATTCAGAATCAGCCATTCCAATGGCATTGTTATGTTTGGTTCATGTACATGCAATTTTTACACACCGTTACTCATATTCATGGTGACGTAGGGCTCAAAGTTCTTGTTCTTCTTCCTGATTTTGGTGATGAGGAAGACACCCAGATAGCATGCCGCAGTTCTATATCAGGCAAAGAGAAACCAGGTCAAAACAGTCCACCGGATTGCGAATGGTGGGCTGCAGGAAATGATTCGATTTAACTTTAAGATTATGTGTTGAATACAAATAAGTGTATCTTTGTTCAGCCATCCATCGAGTCTACTGATGTTTAGTCACCGGCAGAGCAATTAAATGCTCTTCCACAAGATAGCAGAAGGTACCATGAACCACCTTTATCGACCTGCTGCCATTCATACAACAGAATAAGAGCTTTGTCTTCAACCAAACAGGCCCCGATTTCACACTGAGTGCGCAAAATTCAGAGTAAATGAGATCATACATGACATGAGATCATTAGTATATTAGTATGCATTTAATGCAACATTTTCAACAATTTTGATTGATGGTGTGCTGTAAGAATTTTCGAATGTGAAATATGTGCCTTGGCTCAGGAAAAAAAAAAAAAATGTGATCAATAATAGCATGGTTGTCGATATGCCACTGGATTTCTGGAGGATTTTCTCAAGCTGAAAGTGAGTGCTGTTACTTTACCCAGTGGACATATAAAGAAATTGGAAAAATAGAAATTCAATCCAAACAAAGTCATACAACGTGATCTCCCTTGAGATTGCAAAGGTACTAAAATATGTTTTGCGCATCAAAAGATGAAATGGAACACTGATGTACTGTATATGCGGTGGGTTGTTTTCCATGATTGACTCACCCCAATAAGAACATGCAGATGTGAAGGATGTCTTCATGATTGAATTCCAAGTAAAACACAGCTCCTAAAAAAAAACAGTCCTGACATCATCACTTGTTCTTTCGAGCCAACAGGGGATTTCTACTCAATTTGGACTTTTGACATTGTCATTCTGAAAGCATTTCCAAGCACTTTGACTCAAGGGCAAGAGCAAATCCACTTAGGCCTCTGGGTGAACAAACACAGAGCTTTTTGCCAAACCTGCTTTCTCACGCCCCTGCCGAAGAGTCAACAAAATAATATCTAAGCAATACCAACATCCCATGACTCACCTGCCAAGACTGCCAAGATGGTGGACAGGATGTAGTTCATGCTGGCGATCTGGCACGAATCGTACAGCTTGGAGGCTTGGGAGAGAAAACTGCCCTCCAAAAAATACCCACACATCACATACAGAACTTAAATTACTATCCATCCATTCTCTATTTAATCCGTAATCAGGAATATTGTTTAATAGAATTCAAATCATAAAGCTCGATTTCATTTCCATAAGCGCCAAACAGTTGCCACTCACCTGGCTTGAAAGACGATTGTCGACACCATGCACACAAACATGACAGTGAAGATTGGATAGTCAAGCTGCATGGAGCCCTCGAGGCTCAATATCAACATGTGGGACACGGCCTTCACTGAGATGACTGTGACTGAACCTGAGCACGGCACACACAAACACACATTTCAAGTATTAACGTGAGGAACTACGCTGTTCTCCAATGATAGGAGTTAAACTCGTTTTGGTTTACCCAGCAAAGCAACCAGCAGCAGGATGATGACGAGGTAGTTTGCATTTTTCTGTTTGTAGAAATATAAAAGCAGGCAGAACATGATGATCTCCAAGACCTGCCCAGAAATAAATAAATACATGCCATGAATTCTCTCTCCCTCTCTTCCTACTTTCCTGCCTCCATCCACCCACACCCACAGATATGTTGGAAATGATTGTCGTCATGAGTGACCCACATATGAACACTCATGTGAAACTTCGTTGCACTGGGATTGAACTTACCAGATATAAAAGAACGGGCCATCCGACGAGGTGTTTCACTACGACTTCCGCTGTCAGCTTTTCATGCGTGTTTGGCCCAAAAGCCACAAAGAGGTATGCACCTCCGACAACTAGGACGGAACCAAGGAAGGACAGCCCGTGGCGCTCTGGAAGCAAGACACATTGCACCGTTTCATTAAAATATGATACAATATGTATTTATTTATTTGGTACCTCTAAGCAGCAGCTGTCAAGTAAAGTCAAAATTATTTATATGGCCCTTTATCACAAACAGTCTCAAACTACTGAGGCTCTTTCCAGATAAAATGTAAATAAAATAGGCAATTGTAAAATTGACAAGTCTTGTTTCTTCTTTGTGACCGATAACACCGAATCATTAAAAAAAAATGTAAATGAAATTAAACAAGGGAAAAAAATGCGACAAAAGCAGAATTTCCTGTTGGGCAGCGGCAGTTTGGATTTGGCATATTTTACCGGGCTTTCCAGGGGTATCAAATATATTGACAAAAAAAAATATATACAGCAGCTGTTTGCTTTTGGTGCAAAATTGTGATCTGGTGCAAACAAAACGCCGACTTGTTCCACTTACTTGCAAAGTCTTTTGGCTTTGATTTCTCATGCATGAAAATAAAACCCAGAATGTAGCTTGCTGAAAGACAAAAAGCATAGGACAATACATGAACATCAAACTTTCTGCAGGTTCCCCATTATTTTAAAATGATATTTTGATCCCGCTGACAAAGAAGGAAAACTCACTCAGGATGGAGACGGCATTGAGGGGTACTATGAGGCTGAGAGGTGCGAAGGCGTATGACACGAAGTTAGCTGCTTCGCCGAGAATGGCCAGAAAAAAGCCAAACCACCAGGTTTTTGTGTGGTAGAAGATGCGTGGGTCCTTGGCTCCCACGACGGTCACATGGCCATATTTCTGTCAGGAAAAAAAAACGCAGAATAAAACATTCAGATGTGGTAAGAAAATCAAGAAGAAAAATAGAAAGACAGAAGGACAGACTGACAGTTCACGTATTTGCATACTTTTGTTTTTTTTTTAAAACCTATACTCCGTTATTCGCTAAAAAATTCATGAGAAGATACAGATATTCAATATTTGCTATAACAGCTGTACAGATAGACAGCTGGAGAGACAGGTTGCCATCTAGATAAGAGATAATATAGCAGAAAAACCCACTGTACCTGAATATTTAAAGAGATGCTGACAAGCACGTTTCCAAAAATGCCAAGCAAAGTCCCGATGAGGTTATTCTAGAAAGACAAATATATACACAGTAAATTACAATAGTTTAAGATTCTCAATGGTCCTGACGACGTCAAAAAAAGACCGCACAGAAAATGTTTGCACGTTAACTATCTGTGTTGCAAAGTTATTAATTTATTCTCAGTTTAGATACACAGTGTATATATTTGAAACGACGTGAATAGAAATACATACTGTGTACGAGTCTTCGTCTGCTCTGCTCAGATCCATCTTTTTAGCCTTCGATAGCAATTCAGCATTTCGAAAAGAACAGTCACACTACGACAAGATATTTCATGCTGTCACTTGTTTTCTTCCTTCGAAAACTAGTATTTATGAAAGGGCGTATTTCTCATTTCATTTGGCTTAAGGCGCACTTTACCGAATTGGAGCAGGTGACTTCCGGGTTTGAAAGACCAGTTTGGCGACCATTTCAGGCTGCGTCAAATGACGCTTGGGTACGTGACAGGTGGGTTTAAAAAAAAGAGCAAATAAAAAAATAATTTAAAAAAAGTCGACTTGTGTTTTGGGGTGGTATTACTGGCGGTTACTGCAAATATTTATGTGTTTTCCTAATTGTATAAATAACAATTGAGTCGGGACAGTTCCACATAAAACCAAACGGTGGTGGCATTGAGCTAAAAGTGACTGAAAAGATCACAGATGGAGTGACGATTCAGCAAAATAGTCCCGACACACGACAATTAGAGGGTTCAACAGCGTGAGAACGGACCCAGTCACATTTTTTAAGTAGATGCATAGTTTACTTTAAAATATCTGGATTCAGATGATTGTATTTTGGTGCAACCACGTGATGAAATAAAATACAAAGTACATTTTTTTTTCAATGTAAACACACACACACACACAACCCACAGTATTACCTGCAAAGTCTCAAGAGCGCCAATACAAGATCTGCATCTTGTAATAATGATATCATGTGCTAATAGCACTCGTACTGTCTGAGAGATGCTGATTTCATTGTGATCATTATTGTGGTTGTCGTCTTTCCATCACTTTTGCCCATTTTTGTCTTTGAAATTTCATGGGGGAACCGCAAAACGGTAAAAGAAGTTCAACAGCGTGAGAATATTAATTAAGGTTTAATCCTCTGCAGTATTTATTCACGTCAGGCAGGCTATTAATACTTTTTACCAACATCTGTAGTTCTTAATTTGATACACCCATATCAATAATGGGGCCGAATTCACACATTTTCCATCCGTTCCCATTGAAACACAACTGTCTCAGGAATCATAATTGGTTTTCTTTTGTGTTCCAAAATGGGACCCGCACCACAGTTGCAGCAAATGGCGATGCCCTTTAAATGTTCCTTCTAAACATTAACGGCATTACCGTGCGGCTTCATACCAAGAATTAAACGCAACCGCTTTTCAGTGCGACAAAGGCGTGTCCCTCATGTCCTCACTGCATGAAGTCATCCTTTGCTTATAGTGGACGGACCTGTTCCGCACCACCTGTGCATGAGTTCCGGAGCATTTCTGCAAAATCCACTGAGGGTCATAAATACATACATTTTTTTGAAAACAAATATATGATGCAAATGTGTATTACTATATAGTATGAGCAATGGTGGGGTAAATAATTGTTTTTCTTGTTATTAGGCCCATTCATTTTTAATATCTAACGCTGGGCTATATCGACATCTAAGATATGCATATTGAGAGAAAACAAGATAAAGACATTTTTACCTTTATAATAAACGTACATACTATTATTCAAATGATTCATTCTTTGTTGGTTTTGTTGTTGATTTTTCTATTCTGAGTGGATATTTCGACTTGTTACAAATTCAAACTCTTGTACTATAGTTATTTCCCAGGATTAGGAATTTATAAAATAAATGGTGTTTTTGTATTTACTTACATTCTCATTTCAAAGTTTTTTTTTCAACTAAATGATCATTAAAAGATTTTTTACATTGAATTTTTTTTTTTTTTTAGTAGGCGGCACTAATCACCCTCCAATAGTTTTTTTTTTAACTTTTGGGATATTTTAATGGCATTTTCATTTTTCCTTTAATCATAATAGTTTCTTGTTAAAGTGTGATTACTGTACATTTTATTCAATATAACGGGGAAAAATAATTCATTCTGCTCAAATTTCTCTTGGGAATATATTCCTCCATGCACTTACCAAAATACAGTAGATATAAAAAGTACACACAGAGGCTCTTCAAATGCCAGGTTTATGTGATCTGAATAAATAAATAAATAAATAAATTCCACCATTAATATATCCTAAACCTATAAAACACAATTGAAAAATAAATTAAATCTTTTTGACAGGGCAGGCAAAAAAAAAAAAACCCACGGAAAAAAAGTGATTGCATAAGTCTGCACCCCCCGCTTATTACACTGGATATGTCTGTGTTCAAAATGAACTGATTGCATTTCAACTTATTTTAAATGGGAGTCAGTACACAGATGTCACCATTTAAAGTGACTCAGCCCAAACAAAGTTCAGATGTTCAAGTAGGGTAGAAGCCTGAAGGTTTTGTGCTGCCATGACCAAGGCCCGAGGTCCAGTTGAAGAAAAACAGTCCCAAAGCATCATGCTGCCACCACCGTGTTTCACTGTAGGATTAGTGTTCTTTTGGTGATGTCAACCATACTTTTTTGAATACCTTTGTTTCATCGTACCATCACACATTTTTCCACGTTTGCAAAACTGCATGGTTCCTTGCCGAACAAAGGGTTTAATGACCAAAAGGGCCTTTAAAAAAAAAAGTTTTTTCTCACCCTGTCTGCGTTGAGCAAGGCTCTATATTTGGCCCTCTAATCTTTTTTCAGCCACGGCATCCTGTAATTTATGTTTCTCGCCGTACCCACCTCGTTTTTGCCCAAGAACAAAATGATGCATGCTAAAAGGCGAGCGACGCACGGGTCGCGACACTTTTATTTCTGTGTGTTGCGTGTTCCCCGCCGTGCGTGGGCCACCATCCGCCATTTCCCGAGGAATGCGTGAACGTTAGCGGCAAGCGTGGCAGCCCAACTTAATAACCGCCAGTCCTGTTCTACAAAGCAAACGGACCAGCATCCCTTTGTAATGACTGAAGAATGTGCGTACGTTAGCCAGAGACACAGATTGAAGGGGATCAGCCATGCGTGTGTGTGTGTGTGTGTGTGTGTAGGTGTGGGTTCGTGTGTGTAGTATCGTGCTAATAGGAAGTTAAATCCCCAGCCCAGCCAAGTTGTTATAAAGTGTTGGTGGAAAAGCAGGCTTTTTGGAAAATCTCTGGGCATGTATGGACTCGTCGGGAGCACTTTTGGCAATGACTGCTAATGTTAATGACAAAACGCCTTTAAAAATGCCGGATTGTACGTTTGAATGGGACTTGCCCTTGCCATTTTCACACTCATGTCCAGATGTTAGCGCTCACATATTGTGTGTGTATGCCTAGACAGCTTGACCTGTTTGGCTCGATGATGGCCTCCTTTTTTCGGAATAATTACAGTATTGCCGTGTTATGTCATGAAACTTCCGAGGGTTGGGGATTTTTGTCTGATTTTGTCATTTCCAACTTCAGCTCTTCCGATATGTTAGCAATATACTGTTTACATACAATTGCGTCACTTTTATCACAAAGGAGGAAGTTCAGATATTAGGATTTATTTCCAGAAGGTTTAATGGCTCCGATGGGGCATATGAATGATGCAATTTTGATTTCACAGAAGCATTTTAGGGGCCCCCTGAACACTCTCTGCCTCAATTTCCCCGTAGGCACATTAGTTTACAGTAGTTACAAACGGGCATGGTTGTCGACTAGTTCGCTCGTCCGCCTCACGGTGCAGGGTTTGATTCCGGCTCCAGCCTTCCTGTCTGGGTTTTCTCTGGGTATTCCAGTTTCCTCCCACATTCCGAAAACATGCATGGCAGGCTAATTGAACACTCTAAATGGTCCCAAGGTGTGAGTGTGAGTGTGAATGGTTGTTTGTCTATGTGTGCCCTGCGATTGTTTGGCAACCAGTTCAGGATGTACCCCGCCTACTGCCCAAAGACGGCTGGGCTCAGAAAATCGATGGATGGATGGATGGATGGATGGATGGATGGATATAATGTGCCTGTATCTTGGGGACTTAACAAAGAAAATTGATCTGGCAGATAAGATGCTCATTTCCTCATTCTCCTATAAGTCAGCCTTGGAGAAGCTAATCGTGATATTTTCAGTGGTTGAAGTGGGCATAAGTAGCGTTGTCCGCATACTTTAAATTTTGGTGCCGATTAATCGCGTTTTTTTTTTTTTTTTAACATTTTTAGGAATGTATATACAATATTTTTGAATAGATGATTTGTGTCTGGTTGTTCTGCTGACTCCCATTAAGATATAAGAAGAGGGAGGGGGCGTGGCCATATTGCTGAGCACAAAGCGGGGTTCTGAAAGCAGTTATTTTTTTCGTGATTTCTCCACAACAAATTTATAAAATTGGAAATGCAAGCTAATATAATTTTCTTGATCAAAAACATGTACAAAGACAGTTTTTAAGTGAAAAGTGGGCCATCCTCACTGGACTGTTGAATCCAGAAGACAATTCAGGCATGTGCATCTATGAACATATGCATTTTACATCCTGATCCAAATTTTAATTGTTCGGTCTTGAGGGAGGTCATATCTTTTATCACAGTACCAATCAGCCAATGACAGGACGGTGGTTTGTCGGTGAACCACACTTTGGGAAAGTACACGTATTTGTGAGCAAATCAGCAAAACATCTGACGATAAAGATCACATGGCAACAAACTTGTGTCAATTGTATCTCCCGTTGACCTGGATTGCTGTGAATGTTGTGAAGGTTCTCTCATCTGTGAATTGGGATTTTTTCAAATGTATTTATTTTTTGCTTCAGGGACTTTGACAAGAAGCAGCGCTGTGTCATTTGTGAATAACTGGAATACCTTTTGACATAACAAGTAATCTTCCCAAGCGTTATACAACTAGGGGAATCATATCTTCCCTATCCTTTGACATACTAAACTGTAAACTGCAGAAGCACCTGATTGAAGACTTACATCATACTTTAGTTGGGCCACTGATGACTAGAGAGTGCGGATTAAATATTTGTCATTTGCGGGAGTGTGATTGAAAAGTTTTGTGGTTGCTACCCAATGGCTAGTGGTGAGTGTTTAGTGCAGGGGTTTTCATTTTTATGCAAAGTACCACCATAATGACAATCAAATACAGTAATGTCGTTGTGGTAAGTTTTCACCAAAAACGAGAGGTGTCTTTACTGTAAACCACTGTAAAATTGTGCACAATTTTAAACTTTAACGCTGATTTTAAATACAGGGATGAGGGTTGGAAATAATGATTTGCTTAAAACGGGTGTCAGGCTCAATTTTGTCGTGGGCCACTTTGGAATTAAGTCTTCCCTCAGAGGGCCGTTATGATAGTGAATCCACAAAAAAAAAAATTCTCATCACATTATTACTTG